CCGCGACTGGCTGTTGTTGTTGCAGCTGCAACTGCAGCTGCAGCTGCTGTTGTTCCTTCTGCTGTTGGTATATTATTTGCTCCTGTTGATGCTGTTGCTCCTTCAACAACAGCGAGTGTGAGTCATTCACTGTTGTTGCACCAACACCAGTAGCCTGTGCCGGTATTCCTGCTGCTGCGAATGTATCTGGTGTTTTGGGAGCTGTAGCGACCTCTGCCACTCCCGTTGCTGTCATTGTTGTTGGGCCATTGCTGACAACCGCAGCTTCCAATGGCACAGAGCTTTTCTCCAAAATATCCGCCATATTGCTATGCCGCTCTATGCGCTCAGCGCACTGTATCCGCTTGAAGACTTTATGAGAATGTATGTGTATGTGTGTGTTCTCCTTTGTGGTTGTGTATGGTATGTGCGTGTGTGTGTGTATTTTTGTTCTACTTTCGTAGCGGGCGCCTTTAGGGATGCGGTTGTGGGGTGGATTGCGTTTTTGAACCGAAGGAATGCGTTACACTCAGGACAACGAAGTTGCTGCCTAGTTGTTGTTTTTCGCCTCGCGCTTACCCTCTGCCACCTGGAAGCGTCTCGTTTGCTATCACTTTGTTTTCGTCGGCTGTGTGTGTATCTTTTGCTTGTTGAAAAATTTTCAATTCACAATTCTGTGACAAATGTAGTTATACACTTTTCTATTTTTTCGGTTGTTTTCTTCGCCTTTGTTATAAATGCACTTTTCTTATGTAACTTTCTCTTTGCTTTTGAAAACATCTACATATGTACATATGTACATATATTCACATTAATCGCGAACCTGTAAAACAAATACATAAATACTGTATTAATCACTCTTTTTATAACGCATTTTAGCACCTTCGCACCGGAAATTTAATTAACGGTGAGGGCCACTAGCTGCTTGTACATATGTATGCGTTTGGGTATACCAACTGCTGTCGTCGTTCGTGAATAGTCGCTTTTCACTTCAAAATTAATAGCTACAAATCGACTTAATTTCCTCACAAACACATTTGCTTGTGTGTATTTCAAAATTTTTCTTCACACTTTGTTTCGCACTGCGCAATGCGCTTTCAGTAGTAATAAAATTTTTAATTCAAAATTTACACAGAGCACAATATTTATTTGCATATGAATAGCAAAAAATTCATTTAATATGTAAATTTGTCACACCTTAGCTTTGAATCGCACCGCGAGCAGTTGTTACACCAAGGATGGATCTATTTGGTCTGTTATCTCGTCTCGAACTGATTGCGCGCTGCAAAGAAGAATTTTTAATTAACGTCCGAATGCGTATACATAGGTCGCACAGCAAGTCCAAAGCCGCAGAGAGGCATCCACAAAAAATTGCATTGAAATGAGAGAATAAGCCAATTGGCGCTTTTACAGTGAGCTTTTAGTACAAAAGTCGTCGGTAATGTTACGGCAGCAACGCTGTTGGAATAGTGGGTGCACAGAGTGGGTGGCATAGAATGACTGCGACATCTGTGGTGAAATTCACATAAATCTTTGGAATACGCGTACTACGTAGAGCTTGATTAGATTTATATGGCGATTATAAACGCTAATCACACTCTCAAAATTAACTTCAATAGAACTCGAAACCGGTGCAAACTCCATTAAATCCTTTTTCTTTCATTTAAAAAAAGCCATTCGCTTCATTAATTAATGAATTATTGTAATTTTTAAATTTACCGTTGCATATAGTTATCCTACAGATATTACAAATGTCAAGGTTTGTGAGTGGTTATGTAAGTACACTTGCTGCTATCATAACCTGCATTAACATATATGTAGGATGGAGAGTTGCCATATTTTTCAAAAGATAAAATCGATTAATTCTTAAGTAAAAATAAATTATATAACAATGCGTGTATCAATCGAAAGCAGTTCAAAAACGATTTATTTTGAAGATATTTTTAGATGGTTGCCACCTTTTTCAAAAGTTAAAATCACTGAATTAATAAGTTAAATAAATGTTTATCACAACAATTTGAGTGTCAACCCAAAAAGGGTTCGAAAGCGATTTATCTCGAAAGGATTATTTAAGAGGGTTGCCACCTATTCAAAAAGTTAGAGTCAGTTCTATTAACAAGCTAAATGAAATATTATAGTATACATAGATACCAAGCAAGATATGTTTACGAAAGCTTTATTTAAAAAATCTTTTTTAAGGGGCTGCTTGCCACCTGTTTATAAATTTATTATAAAATTTTTGATATGGGTATCGAACGAGCGAAGTTTTAAGTAACTGTGTAAATATATTTTGAAAATATTTTCGACCAGAATTGCCACCAGCTTGGATACAAAATGTAAATCAAATCCTACTTATAAATGTAAAAGTTTGTATGCGAATGTGTGAGTACGTTTGTTGCTATTTCTTTGGATAAAATTTGGCACACAAATTGTTTCACGAGTTGGTTTTTAGCTTCTCCTCCAATTTGTGGTGTGCGTCTTGATGGTGTTTCAAAAAATGAAGGGTCCTACAGTTGTACAACGCCTTGGAAATGTAAATGGACTGCCGAGTGTCGATAGCTGTTAGAAAGAACTTTTTCTAATTTATATGATGCCCGGAACAGGGATCGAACCCAGGTCCTACGGCCAGCAGCCGCAAGGCCATGGAGTTGTTGAAGAGGTAGGAGTTTATGTGCATATAGTAGTTTGTTGGATTATTCGCCTTTTTTCGAATACCGGTTTTAGGGAAAAGGCCCAGTTTCCCATTTTTAAATGAAAAAACCGGGATAAACCGGTTTTATTTTACATAAATTTTCTCTATATTATGACCGAAATTTAAATATGACCGCCAAGACTAGGTAAAACCTTAATCAAGAAACCAAAGAAAAATAAAAAATAAGTTCGAAGTTTTTGATTAAAAGTAAAACAGGAAAAAATTAGTGAAAAATTGTACACCTAATGATGTTCACCGATCTCATAAAGCTTACATCATTAAAAGAACAGCCCTTTGCCTTGGAAAGCTAGTGCATGTATGTATATTAGGGCGGAATAATTTAATTCGTTTGATTCTAAGCAAAAATTATTAATAAACTATATAACAAAAATGACGTTTGACCCTCCCAGTTTGTAAATCAAAAATCGGTGCGGTTGTTCACACCCTCTTGGTTATCAGGTTATCTAGTTATGTGGTTATATTTTTTATTCAGTTTACAACAATAAAAAACACAAGTGTAAACATTACAGTTTATTACAAGTACCTACTACAAATTTTTCTGAACGAAATAAATTTTTCATTTAAAAAATTTTGTTGCTTTCTTCACACTATACCGCTTTTTGTATTGAAAATTGGAATGGTCAAACGTCATTTTATGTATATATGGGTGTTTCCAGCGGAAGGTCCACCACGACAAAAGAAATAAAAG